CCCGTTGAAGGAGAATAAAAATGAGTGCAGCCTGATGGGAATTTAATGTCTGAAGTTCAAAGCAGTTTGCACATCAGAGCAAACGTCAATCAAATGAACATCTTGCGAGCTAGGCAGGGAGCGCGTTTCTCCATGGGGAAGAGATCAAAGTGGGAGTCGCAGCTCTGTTTGCTCCCTCGGGATGCAGTTTCGATCGGTTCTTCATTAAAGTGAATCCAGAAGGAAGGGTGTTTTAGAGAGAGGCAGGGAAATGGGGATGGGGCGAGGGGGCCTGTCTTGACACTGAATTTCAGCCAATGTTGGTTTTTTCCTCCCATTTAAGTAAGTACCAAACCTAATTAATATCAAAATACGGGGTTTGGTGTGGTTTTGTGGTCAGGATTCTGGAGGACTTCCTAAGGGTTGGCTGTGGTGTTACCACGTAGAACATTTTGGGCCTAATCCCCATGGAGATCTCAGTCAGCCACTGCTGTTATCATCTGCCTCGTAGTCTTGCTGCTGGCAAAAGTGGGAGCTCTAGTAAAAAATCCATCTCCTTTGTGCAGAGGAAGGATGGTGATCAATGGTTGTCTGCTAAATCTTTATATATTGAAGTTCTGGGCTTTTTAACTTCTTCCAACGAAAGCCATGGGGAGATCTGTGTGGGTAAAACTTGTGTGGAAAGCAGGCAAGGTATAAATACATCATAGGGAAGGTAAAACCAGTAGTCACAGCCAGGAATGTGAGCGTTGACTGGTAACGCCGCACGGCACTGTTGAGACTTTAGTTCCAGGTGTTGTTTTAATGGTGAAGATTGCCAAATAGGTTAATAGCACATTGTTAACTGGAACAACTCGGGGGCACCCAAAAGAAGCACATGGAAAATTCTACAGTGTGATTAAAAGGATGCAAATATTGCAATGTTAGTTTGCCACAGTGCTGCCTTTGCCCAGTTTCTGGTCTTGGTTTTCTGAGGACATACAGTTGCAATGGGAGCTGGTCTCTTCCCAGAGTCCTTGTGCCATGGAACCAGTCGCACTTTAAAAATACACCCCACTGCAAGGTGTAAAAGTCAGCTTTAAGGCAAACTGCACCCAAAAAGAGATTCGATGTGGGGGTCCCCCCTAGCTCAGCCTGGAGCAGTCCTTGCTCTAGGCTGACAGGTCTGTCTGAGGGATGTTCTTTAATCTATGGGGTTTAGAAGAATTCTTCTTCTGCATATTTTATTTAGATCATTTTCCCTTTCACTGTATTCTCCCTTTGCTACTTGTGTGCTACAGGAAGAGAAAGGAAGGGTGGGCTGGGCTGCTGTAATTTTTTGCTTTCCTTCTCCAGCTCTGCTGCAGATTATTTGGGCATCAATGTCTTCATTTACCTGCTGGGTAATGTAATATTTGCTTAGGGAGAAAGACTGGTGGACTTTGTAGAGTTTTGTATTAAAATACTTTGATATGCTCCAGTAAAACCTGCATTGTAAACAGGGAGTTTATAGCTGGAACACAGATGCCCTTGGCCTGTGGCAATCAGTTTGGGACTGCACGAGTGCCCGTAGTGGGGTAGTTGAGGGTGTCAAAGTGTCAGCTTTATTTTTGCCTTTCTAGAAGGCATGCCAGAGTTGGACCTGGTGTTCATTTGCTTGAAACCCCAGGTTAGTATCGGTCATGGCTGAGAGACCTGAAATTCCATTTGGCAGCTTAGGAAGAAGTGGTGTAGCAATGCACTCATCGTTTTAAATCAAGATACATACAACTCCTCTGCCAGCTAAGGGAAAGCAAGTAGTTTTGGCGGTGTGGGAACTGCATGTCAGGATGTGCATGTCACTGACTGAGTGTGAGCAGCAACTCTTGGCACAAGATAAAATCAAAGGAGAGGAAGATTCCAGATGATTTTGAATTAAATCTCATCATTTACTGCCTGTGTTCTGAGACATGAATAACGTTAGTGGCTAGCAAGGTATGTTGTTGGCATCACTAATAGATTTGGATGGGAGTACTGGGATGGTTAGCTAACATCCTGAAAAGTCATTATTTTTCCCGAAGAGTTAGTTCTTTAGCATTGCTTGGAATCTTTCTTTAGCATGGAGATGTTTAATTTGCAGACTATAGCTCTTCTCCATCTGGTTTCGCCCAAAGATAAACATGTTTTTGTGAAACCCATCCTTTATCAATCAGTCTTAGTCTGGAGATTCCTTAGCCAACAAAAACTCAACAACATTTTTGCTTGCTTGGTAGGAGCTGTAAGTTTTTGAAGTGGTTGCATTTTAATGGGGACAGGAAAAGCCATAGCCTTGATCCGAGAACTGTGTGCAAGTGAAAAGTTAAGGCTTTTCCTCAATGGAGACAACTTCGGGGAGGTCTCAGAGAGCAGGTTGCCAATGATTTCATTAAGCAACTCCTGACAGACTGGATGAGCCCACAACACCAGGGTTTGGCTGCTTTTGGTGTCTGACACAGCATCCCTTCCTCATCATACAACCTGATGGTGGTAGAGTCTGATCAAGAGGACGGGAGACCTTTATAGCTGTCTGTCCACCCATTTTCTCCCTTTTCCTTGCCATGAAGAGTGATGATAATGCACAGGGTGCCCAGAGAAGCTGTGGCTGCCCCATCCCTGGCAGTGCTCCAGGCCAGGTTGGACACAGGGGCTTGGAACAAGCTGCTCTAGTGGAAGGTGTCCCTGCCCGTGGCAGGGGGGTGGAATTGGATGAGCTTTAAGGTCCCTTCTAAACCATTCGATGACTCTACGAAATGACTTCCATCCTTAAAGGGCATATTCCTAAACCTGTGAGCAGGCTGTGCTGTGGTCTTCACTTTATAGTAGAAGTTAAACCTCTGCTTTCAGCAGAAATAACATCAGCCCAACCTAGAATATGGTTATATTGGCAGGAATCATGAACAAAAGGTGAACTTGTGGCCTATGGATGTGCCAGCAGTGCTGCTCACAGTGAACTCCAGTGTTCCTCTCAGGAGCATGCGTGGTACCAGAATGCTAGTATTTCTGGAAGTGGGTGCAGTCACTTACAGAGGTGGTGATCTTAAGCCTACTTAACAAAGAGGTTTTCCTACATCCCGTGTGAGGGGACCCCATGAACCGAGAGATGGAGGCCCTCGGCAAGTCCTGCATCTGGGCTGGGGCTGCTGCAGCTATGTCCCTGTAGAAGGAAATTGTTTTGTATTTGGCTTAGGAAAATACATTGGATTAGGAGCACTTCAGTTTGCTTAAAAAGGCTTGTTTCCTGTGGTCATAACTTGAAATTTCCCTGTGTAACCCATTCCATCTGTCTGTGGTTTTTGTTTCTGCTAATTGTTGTTATAAGGGGATGATTTAGAAGTGCTTTGTTTTATTGTCTGTTCATGTCTACAAACCCCAGCCCTTATAGCAAGCACTCTGTATGGAAGAAACCAAACCAATCAGTGTTTTTCCATCCTTATTGGGCACCATATTTGTTGCCGTGATTGCAGTTTACTGGTTTCTGTTTCTTAATCAAAATCTTCATCCAAAGGAACGGTTCTTGTTTTTCATATGCTTTTGCTTGCAATATTTTGGGGCTTCACTATGTGATAGCCTATATATGTGGGTGAGGGTCAACTTAGATCAGCTCTTAGGCAGAAGCTCTTCCCTGTGAGGGTGCTGAGGCGCTGGCACAGGGTGCCCAGAGAAGCTGTGGCTGCCCCATCCCTGGCAGTGTTCAAGGCCAGGTTGGACCCAGGGGCTTGGAGCAAGCTGCTCTAGTGGAAGGTGTCCCTGCCTGTGGCAGGGGTTGGAGTTGGAGGAGCTTTAAGGTCCCTTCTAACCCAAACCAGTCTGGAATTCTATGAAATAAAGAACCTTAGGCACAAATATAATGTACATGGAGCAAAATAGCATTGGAATGGCACTGGGTGAGTGGCACATTAAGCTTGTGATGGATGTGCTGTCGTTTTGAAGTAATTTTGTCGATATCTTTTGATGCAGCTGGGTTTTTTTTTTTTGTGTAATTTATTGTTTTAGTGCTGACAGTATTAAACAAACCCGTACTCGGCTCAGTTTCTTTCCAACAGTCATTTCCTATCAGCTTTCATGCCAGAAAGGCTCCTCATCCAGAATGGGATGTTATGCAGACCTCGCCTGTGGTTTGTTGTCATTGCTGAGGAGTAGGTTGATAGCAGAAAGTTTCTTTGATAGGAAGTAAGTAGTTTTTCTAAGTACTAGAATACTCATGCCAGAAGTCAAATATCAAAATGTTCAAGGTCAGAAAAATATTAACAATTAAAATTGGCCTAAATAATACAAAACTGCGTTTGAGGCCTTGAAAGCTTCAGAAGTGTTTCCAGTTATAAATAACTCTTTAAACCTCTTTTTATTTCTGTTCTGCTAAGGCATTGGTTTAATTATATTTTATTGTTAGCAGAACCATTGTGCTGTAATAATTTTTTTCATTGGAGTTATGAAAGCATTTGAATTATTTAACCAAATCAAAATGTAACAAAACTTCAGGCTGTCAAGTCCTTTCTGCTGTTTGGAATGTAAACCCTCAAGTTTTGGGCTAGAAAGCAGGTTAAAAATTGCTCTGTTAGATCTTTGTTGTAAAGACACAAAGAGGAAATCCTCTTCATGCAAGACACTGGGAATACAGCTTTTAAAAGTGGCAGATGAAATGATGGTGCTTGTGAGAGGGTTTCTATCGAGCAGTTTGGTTCAACAGCAGGAGGAAACACTCCTTCATGGCAGGCCTGGGTGCTGTGCACATTTCCCAAGCTGGAACCTAAACCCAGATGAAAGACCACCACTCCCTTATGATCCTGGCTTTCAGGGAATATGGTGGAGGAAAATGCAACATTACCGTTGTATAGAGCAAATACAGCCAAGATGAGCTTATCCCCCATAGTTTTGGTGTTCACAGTTTTTCCTGGACCCTTTAAATATATATAATGTTGGAGTTTCCAAAGTCACTGTTTGTCATTGAGGTTCCAGATGATGCATTTCCATCTGTAGGTTGACTAGATAATGTTAGATTGCTAATCCTGGCGTTGTCATTTCAGATTTGATGGGAATTTTAACACCAACGTTTCTCGAACTATCAGCTGTGATAGACTGTCTACCACTGTCAACAGCAGGGCCTTCAATCCTGGACGTGACTTAAATTCTGGTAAGTTGTAGAGCTCTGCTTTTTTCCTCTGGTGTAGGGGTCTTTTTTTTCCAGCACACTTGAACATTTCCTTGGCATAGGGAATTAGCATTGGTTGCCATGGCAACAAGCTTTTCTTTCTCCTTCAAACTGTCACACTGCTCTTAATTTGAGATTTCATGATGGAAAGATGATACCTAAAGTACTGCCCTTAGTCTAAGTACTTTATGAAAATGTCACGAAGATTTTATTCCAGCCTACCATGGATAATTTTGTTGTGGTTTATGCACTTTTTATTTCTTCTCCTTTCTTTTATTCCAAGGCACTTTCTTTCCTCGGCCTGTCTGCTTTGGCAACTGAAGTGTCAGCTGCTGAAGGGGCTGTGCAGAGAAGTTGCTCTGATCTTCTTAGCTCAGTTCAGCTAATGTGAGGCTGTGTTTGCAGCGATATGCAAAAGCTACAAAATATAAGGACATCCTGAAATACTTCCTTTGTTTGTCTTGTCAGGGCATTTCCATCTTGACACGCAGTGCATTTGCATAACACGCTTAAAGAGCTAGAAATATGGAGCAAAATACATGACTTGTCCCTGAAGAACTCAGCTTTTGGTCCTCCGGTGCAGCCAGGTTTTCTTTTTGTTTGAATTAATACATGGATTGAGAATTTAGATTCATGGAATGGTTTGGGTTGAAGGGACCTTAAAACTCACCCAGTTCCAGCCCCTGCCATGGGCAGGGACACCTTCCACTGGAGCAGCTTGCTCAATTATTTTAATTATTGCTTTAATTTTGGTGCATCTTTTGGAATAAAATCCTGATTTATTGTTTTGAATATACCCAATGAAGGGGCAGAGCTGCCATTCCACCTGCACCCTGCAAACAGCATTTGCGTACCTTGCAACCGATAAGATGGAAGAAGCCCAGGTTCCTCTCAAGCCTCCCTTTCTGTGTCCCTTCTTGCAGCTTTGCTTTCTGGATATTTATGAAATCTAAAAAATTACAAACAAAAAGCAAAATGAACAGTCCCTGGAGGTTCCTTTCCATCCCATCCACTGTATACCACATCTTGAATGCAGGTGCTGGCCAGACAAGCTGACTTCCTGACATACACCTCATCGCTATAACTTGTGTAGTTTTTCCATCCTAAAGCTAGGCAGTCTTTGTTCACTTCCTCGGGTTTGCTGGGCTTTGTTTTACTCATAAGCTACATTTCTATTAAAAAACCTCAAGAAAACAACTTCTTTTTTGTTAAAATAATGCTTAAAATCACATACAGCTGTTGTTTAATCAGAATAATTTTTGAAAGCAAGTTTTCAGACCCTGACAAAAGCAAAGCATTGAATGAATCAATGGGTTTTATTTCATTAAAACCCACTATATTTCTTCTGCAGAAGATGGATGTAAAAAAGGATTACAGAAATAATCTTTCTTGAGTGGTGGGAAACAAATAAACTGCAGCTTCCTTGAAACATTTCGTACATTTCTGGTTTGAATTCTCACAGAAGCATGTTCAAGCTTCGTGTTGTCCTGGCTCCACAGTGAGACTTGAGTCGCCTCCTCTTCCCTTGCCTCTGGCTGGAAAGCTTCCTGATGAAAGGAGTGTCTTCAGCAAATGGCATTGGCAGAGCAGAGCAGCAGAGGAGAAGAGGGAATTGGACTGATAGTAGCAACAGGGAAGTGCTTCAGGATATATTGACAGCAGAGTCTCCTCCAGCTTTCCTGTTAGCAGCTCTCAGAAACACAGCCTTTGGGGGAGGTTTTTTGTTAGCGAGGAAACGCCTGTAACAGAGAAATGCAATAGAAGGAGTGGATTGTTGCAGACAAATGAGATGGAAGCAGGTTTATTTGAGAAACAAAAGTTGATACTTGTTACTCATCTAGTGAAATGACTTTTCTACAACGAATAACACTCCTGGAGGTGCTGGGTGAGAAGCTCCCCATGACCCCGCTTCAGTGTGTGCTTGAGCCCAGAACCCCCTCTCTGTGCTGGGCTGCACCCCCAGAGCGTGAGCAGCAGCTCAGGGAGGGGATCCTGCCCCTCTGCTGTGCTCTGGGGAGACCCCCCCTGCAGCCCTGATCCAGCTCTGGGGCAGCAGCACAAGAGGGACGTGGAGCTGTTGGAGAGAGGCCAGAGGAGGCCATGGAGATGCTGCGAGGGCTGGAGCAGCTCTGCTCTGGAGCCAGGCTGAGAGAGCTGGGCTGGGGCAGCCTGGAGAAGAGAAGGCTCCTGAAGGGGAGACCTGAGAGCAGCTCCAGTGCCTGAAGGGGCTGCAGGAAAGCTGGAGAGGGGCTTGGGACAAGGGCCTGTAGGGACAGGCCAAGGGGAATGGCTTTAAGCTGCCAGAGGGGAGACTGAGATGAGCTCTTAGGCAGAAGCTCTTCCTTGGGAGGGTGCTGAGACTGTTCTATGATTCCTTTCATCCTTGTGTGAAGGTGCTTGAAAGTCTGCAAGATGACAGTTCTGTGATCCTCAGCTGAGAGCATCTAAGCTACATGATCTTCACCACTCCAGCTGCAGAAACAGGAGACTGGTGTGGCTTCAGGGAAAGGCTGCTGCAGGAAGGGTTGAGCAGAGTAACACTGGTGTGGAGCTGGCCATTGCCCATGTCCAAAGCAGTGTCCCTGTATCACTGCAGGAGTGTTTGGGTTTTGGAATAAACTGGGCAGGGGCAGGAGGCTGGGTGTTTGTGTTGTGGGTGGAGGTATTGCATTGGTGGTATCTGTAGTGGTTGCTTATGTAGTCATGGGCCATGACCTGTTGTGCCAGAACAGCAGTCTATACCCAAAGGAATTCGTGGGCTGAGACAAGAGTTGGCTTGAGACAGATTGATCTGTTTATAGATTGAGGAGCAGTTTTGGTTAGAAGGACAGTGCTGTCAGTGCAGCAGCATCCTTACAGCCCTGAAGATGGCTGTCAGGTTAGAAACGGTTTTAAAGAGCACTTAATGTCGTCTGTCTCTCCAAAATCTTTATGTTTCTTAGTTCTGCAGTGACCTGGTTTTGTGAATCACTCTCCTACAAGGATACACGTAGGACAGAGCACTCTCTCTGCACAGAACCTGTTTCTCAATGAATTCACATGTGTCTATTCATTGCTCTTAACTAAAACCTCCTCTGAAAGAGGATAAAGACCAAAGAATAAGAAATTTCCTCAAGTCTCATATATTTATTACTTCTCTTGTAAGTGCCCTCACATAGACCCAGTGAGAAATACCTGTTGCACGTTGGATTCACACTCTACCTCAGCCTGTATTTTCTGCTTTAAAAAGCCTGAGAGTTCTTGGTAAATCTGAGTATTCTGATGGTGTTTTTTCTCTCCTACCTTGCTTTCCTTGTTTAGACTTAGAGGCAGGATGGGAAGCCACAGCTTCCCAAAAATCGTGTTATGCTGTCTTTTGCATTGAATGCAGAGTGCTGGGGAGGACCCAACAGAGGTTTTGAAAGACCTCTGCTCCTCCAGCCCAGAAACAGGAGCTCCCTTGGTTTTTCCAGTTTCAAAAAACAGCCTGGACTGTCCATAGAATCCCAGACTGCTTCAGTTGGAAGGGACCTTAAAGCTCCTCCAGTTCCAACCCCTGCCACGGGCAGGGACACCTTCCACTAGAGCAGCTTGCTCCAAGCCCCTGTGTCCAACCTGGCCTTGAACACTGCCAGGGATGGGGCAGCAGCAGCTTCCCTGTGCACAGATTGTCTTTCCAGATGAGTTGATCATTTCATTCTTGCTGTTAAGAAAACCCCTAATTCCCATGAGTATCTCTTTTCCCACATGAGTTTTGCAGTTTACATAGTCCGGCCTATAAAAAGCTCTCAGCAAAACACAAATTTAAACTCTGCTCAGTTTGCCCTCGATCTCAGTCTTTCAGTGTTAATCTTGGCCCAGAGTAAGAAAGTGGGATCAGAGTGGGGAGCTTGGAGGTGTTGGAAGGGAATGGAATTCGCACCGCAGACTCCAGCCAAGCCACAGGAGCAGGGCTGGGGAGAGCCCTCGGTGTAGTCACCAACCTCAGCTTCTGGGCTGCACAATGTGTTAGGAAGAGTTACACTTACCCTTGAAACTCATGAAAGCTCATGAAACTTTCCATAATAAGGAGTTTGAGGGGGTTCTTTGCAGTTTTCTAATGGATTTTTTATAACATAAAAAGACAATAAACATTAACCTTGGGGAAGGGAGGAAGAAGAAAGAAATAGATGCATATGTCTCTTCTCTCAACCCTTAAAAAGTGATGCTTTGCCACTTTCTTTTCTTGATATCAGGTGACTTTTTAATGTCTTAAAAAGGGTTTGTTTCATCTTGGCTTGAGTTTTCCATTTGGATTCCTTTTAGCCATTACTACAAACTAGTTAAGGAGAGTCTTTGCTGTTCAGATGGAATCACAGGCTTTGGTTAGTTAGACTAAGAGATCTGTCCTCACTGGGATGAATAGTCCTTTATTTATTAGATGACAAAATCTTACCTAGAGCCAGTGCATTATGTTATCAGATTCCTTCAGGTTTTTTTTTCCTTTTAAATAAATAAGGGACCAGTAAATCTTTCTCCTTCTCATCCTTCAAAGCACTGAAATGCCTGTTTCAAGCCAGGCAGCTTTAGCAGATGCCCTTCTTCAGGGATATGCAGAGATTCTACCAAGTTGCTCAATAAATTTTCTCTGTGCCTTATTTGAGGTGTTGATCACTTAAAATGTGGAGTGCTTTGGTCATGTTCCTTATAGTGCTGTATTTTATACTGCTAGTTTGAGTGTGTTACAAGAGTTGGGAGGTATTTGAGCAAAGGAGTTAATGCCTCCCTTCCAAATCCTTTTAATCAAGAAAGCTGGGCTCATTCCTTAAATTGAAAGGGTGTTTTTCTTCTTTCCCCTTCAGAGTCAAAAGAAGTCCCAGGGAGGGAGCTGGGCTCCATCCTGGCTCGTGCCATCAGCAGAATTTTAATTGGGTTTGAGCTACAAACCCTTTTATTCCTGGTGAAAATGCACGAGCCAGTTTGATTCAGGAAAGCCTGGACCGCATTTGGAGGTCTGGAGAGGT